ATTTGTTCTATATCCTATCAGATTCCCTTCCATATTTGATCTATAGTTGATCCCAATTTTTATCTATCTATTTTGCTGCCTATATCTATATATGTCGCACATCGATCCCTGACTTCATAAAGAATTAACTGACACTTTCTTTTTCTTTAACAATGTCAAGGTTGAAAATGTGCGACGTCATTGATAATAGCAATACTATGGCGGCTGGTCGCCATGTTGTTCAGGCATATTTGTGTTTGTTCAACACCCACAGAGCCAACCTGAACAGACCTTAAAAAGAAATTCAAAATGGTGAAATCCGAACTCGGCTCTCATGGTCAGAAAGCGAACGTTCTAACCACTCGGCCATGTATTATGACGGATCGCGTAAAGGAGATTAGAATTACGCAACTACCAATGCCATTATCATAATTTCAAAATTGATAAAATTTCGGCAAACATGGATAAACATGCCCGCAATAAAACGTAGTGTCAAAAGGACGTTTTTTTTTCATAACGCCGCTTTTATTTTAACTACTTTTACTCTTCCTTAATGTTTATTGTTTTAAAATGTGATGATTATAATTGGAATAAAATCTAAACATCAAAATGAATTTCTACATTTACTTTGTTCTTGACAACAAATATAATAAACATGTTTGCCAAAATTTCAATAATTTTCGATTCTGACAAATGTCTACAAAAGTAGAAAATACTAATGAATTATTATCTAAAAAAATATTCGCCAGAAAATAATTCATGTTATTTTATTTTATTTTTTTTACGAGTTGTCGAGTTAATTTTAGGAGACCCGCGAAATCTTATCACACCTGCTAATTTTTCCATGTCGCTTGTGGGTCTCTTTTTCAAAAATATGTAATTTTTAATGATTAAGACTACATAATCGTACGAATACATTAGGTCGCATGGAAATATACATTATATATGTGTGTTCGACAACAGATATGCTTAATTAACTGACAAAATTAAAGTGTATCCGTTCGACTTTTATTCATATTTGTGTGCACGTTTTTAATTTCCTCAGAAAAATATTTTCATTAAAAAAAAAAGTGAAATCCATTGAAGTCAGCTTCAGTTTCATTCGAATTAGAAAACTACTTACTTCAAAAAAGAGGTTTTTTGATTCCTGAAAAAGTTATACTCCTTGGGAGATGCGTTTGGGTGAGTAGGAAGTGTTTAATACAACAAACATCTTTAATGTATAAAGGAAGTTCTCACACTATCAGGTACTTCGCCTTCAAATTCTGATGCTCAGCCATTCGCTGAAATCGAATACATAGACATCTCCGAATGAGTCTAACCGTGTTACAACAGTATAATTAATTCTCAATGCTTTACAATTATGTACTATGATATATATATATATATATATATATATATATATATATATATATATATATATATATATATATATATACAGATTCCGTACCTAGAAATGTATACAAACTTCAGAAAAGGAAAAACTTGTCTTTCTTATTTTTATCAAATTGCGTTTTGTGAATTATGATATATTTCTAATTTGACACATCCAGATATTTATCTATGGAGCACCCTAAAGAATGTTGCTTATCGCAGAAAACCGACAACATTAGCATCACTTAGACAAGAAATTAAAAACGAATATGCAGTAATCCCAATGAACACTTTCGCCAACGTTGCCCAAGCAGGAGTTCGCCGCACTAATAAATGTTTGGAACCTAAAGGCCACCATTTTAAGGATCATCTTTCGTGATGTCTGAATAAATTTAGTATTAGGTTATGATACAAGTTTTTCCTTTACAGATTCGTGTATACATTTTTAGGACGAACTCTCTCTCTCTCTATCACCAGACTGGATGAATTACTATATTTATTATTCTAATTCCTCAAAATACTTTCATTTGTATATCCGTGATGGACCCAGCTAATGCTCTGCGATGGAACGGTTAAGGAGAAAGGAAAGACGTTGCTCTTGTGGCACAACCCGTTGTGTTATGAATACATTCTGAGTAGCGGCGCTATATCGAGTCTATTCAGTTTTTTCTTCGTTACTGAGGCCTGTTGGTACAGTTGGTATGACACTTGCGTTGTATTGAAACGGCTGAGTTCGATTAATGGATGCGTATTTCTGGTGAGTCCCAAATAAGATGAAACGACTGTCCAGTGCTTTCGGCATTCTGTTGAGCATTCTTCTAGACTTGATGAATTACTGTATGATATATATATATATATATATATATATATATATATAATATTATAATATTACCACTCTTTTGAAAACACATATTAGTACGAGTTCTTCACATGATGTCAACGCATTAGCACATTTAAGGTTATGCTTGTAATGGCGTTTGTGATACGTTGCTTGGGATGATTTATGTCTCCTGCTTTCACCTGATACACCATGCCCTTCAAGTGGCCCAATGATTGAAATCAAGGTGGGAGAGATTTGGAGATCTTGGAGACCAATCCACATGATCACGCCGACCAATCCAAGCATCCGGAAACTGCTGATCGAAATATTGACCCACTTGATGACCAGAATGAGGTAGGGCTCCATCTTGCTTGAAGTAAACTGGGTAGTCATCTCCCTCGTTTAGCAGGGATGGGAGAATTTCCTCTTGCAACATGTTAAGATACCTTCCTGCATTAAGATTTTCACAAATTAGTCCAATAATTCTGTCACCCCTTATACCGGCCCACACCATCAATTTACCGTCAAATTCCAGTAGGCAGTGACAGACCACGACAGCCTGTTTTAAGCGCTTCCCCGCAATCATTAGGCTGTCGGTAGCTGTAGTTTGTAAAATAGAAACTTCCATACCCCCAGGCAAGTCCAAGATGGAAAGCCAACCAAATTTGCCAGGGGGAGGGTAATCAAGATCAAAATAGCCGAATAAATAAAGAAAATAAATAAATTCCATCAGAAATGGTTTACCGGTGCGACAAAAAAGTGTTCAATGTCATAGGGAACAATAACACCACGATAGAGGAGCTTACAAGGAAAAATGTGCTCTACAATACTGGGTCACTAAAATAAGCGCCCTCAGAGCATTTATAATTAGAAATTTATCGTCATGTATCCTTTTTTATATATAAAGTGTTATTTAAAAAATGTGTTATTCAAAAAGATTTTTAAAATGGCCACACAACATGAAAATTCATTTTGTGTACTACAATTTGCGAACTGTAACAGTAAAATAATAATCTTTGAAACTTTTCCTATCGACTAATGTGCTGAATATGTTTATGTCTTTTAGCATTTGTTTTTATTAAATTTTCGAAATCTGCACTTTCGTTTTGAATAAACCTGTATTACAATATAGGGCCATTTTAAAAGAATGAAGAGATTTTTAAAATTTAATAAAAACAAATGCTAAGAGACAATAACATATTCAACACGTTACTAGATCGGAAAAGGTTCAAAGTTATTAAAATAAATGAATTTTTTTTCGATCTTGTTTAAATGCTTCTTTTTGTTTGTATTTTTTTTCCAGATTTTTATAAATTTAAATTTTTATAATTATCACAAATGGACAAACCCCGAGAAAAGTCGTTTTGTGGACTTCAATTTGTGAAATGTAATATTAAAATAATAAACTTTGAACCTTTTCCTGTCTAGTAATATGTTCAATGCTTTTCTGTCTCTTAACATTTGTCTTTATTAATTTTTCGAAATTTGCTTTTTCTTTTTAAATAACCATAGCCATCCATATATATATATATATATATATATATATATATATATATATATATATATATATATATATAGAGAGAGAGAGAGAGAGAGAGAGATAGATAGATAGATAGATAGATAGATAGATAGATAGATAGATAGATAGATAGATAATATTAGTGGTAAATATACACATACATATGCAAAATATATAAATATATATACATACATGCATACACATACATATATATATATTTTTTAATAAAAGAAATTCCAAGAGGATAGAATCTAGGTAGAACTCAATGTCCAGGACTGAGTAAGGATATAATAAAAAGGCTTAAACACTAATATTCCATGGTCATAATTTATTCCATTGAAATTGTAAATACGATCCAATTCATCAGACTTACAAATTCCATTCAATTTGTAGGTCTGATGAATTGAATCATATTACGATTCAAATGGAATAAACTATGACCATAGAATATTAGTGTTTAAGTTTTTAAATTTTATATATATATATATATATATATATATATATATATATATGTAAATGTGTGTGTGTGCGTGATATGAGAAAAATGAATGACTGAGAAGAATAGTGGATACTTCCTGTATGGTTGGGCTCGATAAAGTTAATAGGTGAAAGAAGCTTCGGTTAGACAGTCACGAAAATTACCAATTTTAAGCTTTAGCCTAAGGCGCCACCGTCACCCAAGGCAATAGTTCACCCTCGACTGAAACGACCCCAAAGTAGAAGTGCCAATGTTAGCTTGAGTCATTTTTTACCTCTGTTCCGTGCACGCGTTTACGTAAGTGGGTCTATACATATATACAACAAACTTTTTTTTCCTAACTGCAAAATGACGTACATAGGAAGTAGTGAAGAGTCATGACAGCTATGATTCTGAAGTACCACAATACATAAAAGATTATCACTTCAATTACCTACAAGGTGGTCCGCAAGTCTTGTCACCCCCACCAAAACGCAATGAGTACAATAGAAGTGAGTAATAAAATAAAACAAAGCACATGTACTGGATTCAATTTATTCACTTTCATTGACGCTGTCACACATCGGGAAAGTTTATCTGAACACCGTTTTCTTGTCAGTCATCTGAAATCGAAAATTTTGTCATGTAGTTGTGACAAGACTTTCGGACAACCGTGTACATTAGTCGAAGATACTATATTTCCGACAAAATTTAAAAAAAAACTTTTGATTCACATCTTCCCCAAGAATTGGCATTTTAACGCGGGTGCTTCCCTGAGCAGCACAGTCATAAACTCTTCTCCTCATAATCTTCACATGTTTCTCTTCCATTTTACCACCCGCGCATCCAAGATTACAGCACCTAGTATTTTCAGGCGGTCACCCATTTAAATACTGACCAGGATCGACGTTGCTTAACTTCGGTGATCGTACGAGAACCGATGTTTCAACGTTATGTGACCATAAACCTATTCGCATATGTTATAGTCCAAATTATTCATTCATTATTAACATTTTGGCTATAATGGTAATATATATAGGTACATGTATTAATTCGCTGATAAAAGAGCATATTATCACGAAAAATTGTTTTAACGTAAAAATCTTGATGTTATTATTAAGAGGAAGGAAGTATTTTTGTTTATGTAATTATATCTTTAATCCTTTTTAGAACGTTCGAAATTTGGGTTAAAAATCTTGTTTTGCTTGCGTCAGTGGATAGACTATAAATTAGAATGGCAAATTCTTGCAAGAGCCAAAAAATTGTCAGAACTTTCAAGACATTCACAAATGAAGTAAATTATTTTTTTAAATGTTTTTTGTTTTTTTAGAAAATCTTAATAAAAGTGTTTTTTTCTTTTATATCTGATACCCACCCACTTATTTAATTTTATGGACATTCGAGAAATTCAATGGTGCAATAATTAATGTTTATATTAGTTTCAAGCAGAATTTCTTTGAGAATTTAATTCATCAATTTTTTTTCTAAAACAGGAACCCCTAGTTACTGAAAATATACTCTGAGTCGTAAAATAAAAAACGCAATAAAACTAAGACATTAGTCAATTAGAAAATCTTTTATTTGCTTTTATGAATATGATGGATTATGGACTTTAAATTTTTTCAAAGAATAATGAAATTTTACATGAAGTAGAATAGTTTATAAAGCTTTAAATCTTTTAAAATTCTTCATAAATTAATTATTATCATTATCATTATTATTATTATCAATTAATTATTAATTATGTAATAATTGATATTGTTATTATGAAAAAAAAATTACTAACCATAAATCGGAAAGCTTATTCTAATTTAATGTTTCCCAGTATATTTGAAAAAAGATTTTGATTTTTTTTTTTGAATGCGTATAAACGTGCAGATTTTCCTAGATACGGATATTCCTTCACGGCATTATAAGATGATAATATAACTAATATAAACAGACTAAATTTAAAGACAAAGTATCTAAAATTCAGTAAAACATTAGAGTACGGAAAATAATTTCCTAAAATTTTATATTTCTGATTACTTAAAAATATATATATAAAAAGGCTCTCACGTTATGTTCTTCAATTATTTTATAGATATACCCAACGTAGAAAAACGTCAGATAAACACAATAAATGTAATCTATTAAAATAAAATCAGTAATAAATTATGAAAAAAATGTTCCACTTTGTCACAGATTTTCCTAAAATTATTCTGAACGTATAAAATATTATACATCTTAATTTTCATATATATATATATATATATATATATATATATATATATATATATATATTTCGGTGCGTGGATAAAAACGTTGGTTGGATCAGTGACTTTACCCAAAGACTCGTGAATTCAATACCTGGTTATTGCAGTGATGAAAAAAAACATGGTAAGTTGAGTTAAAGGAAGATAACTGAAACGTTTGGAAGACGACACATGGAATGTTGAATTAGAACTATCTACCCCAGTTGACGAAATAAAATGTTCAGTTTGAAATTCCAATCACCTGAAGAAGGCCGGTGTGTTTTATTATTATAAGCAAAACTCAGTGCGCTTATATATACATATATATATATATATTGTAATCGTAAGAAAAGTCATTTGAACTTTTCCCCACATTTACTCACTCTCTTTTGATATTATATATATGTGTGTGTGTATATATGTTTATATATATATATATATATATATATATATATATATATAGATAGATAGATAGATAGAGAGAGAGAGAGAGAGAGAGACATACAGAGATAGTAGGTTATAAATGTTAATTTCACAACGGTCAGTTTTCAATCCGTGCCTGACAATTACCATGTGCCTGCGACTCAGAGTTGTACTGAAGAGTGAGGAAAAATATATATTTCTTATTAGTATACTTACATAGATATACATATCTATATGTGGATATATAATTTTTGAACGAATAAAAAACGCTACATAATTATAATATACATTGCAACATTTTTGTGTTTAAATTCAGGAAAATATTTCCAATTTTATCGCAAACATTCGCAACCGGAAATGGAAATAAGAAATCGCGATATAGTGGCGTTCGTTTTTCTTTTCTTTTTTTTCTTTGTCTCCATTCATTTATTTATTTGCCTTTATAAATTGAAAAGCTTGATCAATTGTGAAAAATAAAGAAAGCCGGAATTACGCATGCGCGTCACATGAGAGTAAAAAGATACTAGAAATTCAGGCGAAAAAAAGTCTATATCTAAGAGCTTTTTCCCTGTTATTCTTGTTATTCCCTGTTATTTTTAATTCTGTTGCTGAAGATTTCTCGACCATCCTCCAAAAAGTTTAGGTATTTGGTCATTCGGTCAGATTTTGAGAAGTGAGTCTGGCAAAGAACTTT